CTGGACAATGGTTGGATGTGGTTGGATGGTGTTTGGATGATGGTTAGTTGGTTTGTTGGATGGTGGCTGGACTATGGTTGGATGTAGTTGGATGGTGTTTGGATGATGGTTAGTTTGTGGTTGGATGGTGGCTGGACTATGGTTGGATGTGGTTGGATGGTGTTTGGATGGTGGTTGAATGATGGTTGGATGATGGTTGGTTGGTGGCTGGATGGTAGACTGTTTCCTCGTGTGCCACTGAAACTCTTGATCTCCTCATCCTGATGCTGCTCAATAATCCAGGTAGAAAAATCCAAAAAAGTTCAATCTGGTCCTCTGGACATTCAAAAAACAAAACAAAGTAAAAAAAAAAATGTAGAAACATTTCATCTTTCATCCAAACGACTTCTTCAGTCTGAGGTGCTGTATTCAGCTCAGTCTCTTAAATAGCACCTTCTCAGAGTGGATCAACCAGTTTGCTGCTGACAACCAGAACCAGCTGCTCACATGCTCAAGAAGGACCATCAGCCTAATCATGAGGATCTTCAGGATCTTGATCTCCTCCTCTTTTCTCTGGTTTTTGTGGGTTTTGGCCCAGACGGTCACTAAACGTCGGTGGACTGTTCCAGAACCTCATTTTGTGTTGGCACTGCTTGACGACATCGAAGACGTGTTTACTTTTTGAGCTTCTGACAGAACTTCAGGACCGGCTTCAGGACATGCGTTGATGTTTTTCTGATCAGTTCGATAAAGTTTTATTTTCTTCTTCAGTGCGCAGAAACGTCAAAGTGACACGGCTCTACATCGGCTCCATGGGGATCAGCGACCAGAAGTTTCTGAAAGCGTACGAAGACCCCCACAGCCCAGAGTTCCAGAGCCTGGCAGGTCAGGTGGGCCAGCAGGTGAGCCCTCACAGCCCCAGAGCATCATGGGAGTTTCACACAGTAGGCAACACCATTGGTTGTGCTGGAGATTGATCTGGACCTTTTTGTCTTCCAGCTGAAGCTGATTTATTCGGCCAACTCCGTGTTGTCCAAATACTTGAAGAGCTCCAGCGTCCAGGCGTTCAGGTACACCGTCACCCCTCGCTGAGAGGACCTGTCACCTTCTGAACCCCTGATGACTGTCCTGTGCTCCTGCAGTGAAGGCGACTCTGGCGTTGTGGCGTATTACCAGTCAGAGTTTGAGCTTCCCGCCCCCCAGCAGAACTCTCTGAATGAAGCCATTCGTTCTCTGGAGGAACCTGCAGAAACCCAGATGGGTCGGCACGGACGGCTGCTGCTGAGACCAACCGACGCTCTGAACGTCAACGGAGTCACGTCTGGAGGTTTGTCAGGGTTTAAACCTGGGACAAAGGAAGTCCACCAGGGTGTCAGGATGTAAGAAAACTGATCCAGTCTTTACCCGGTTCTAAAACGATCCAACCTCGTGAACAAAAACCACAGGTTCCTTCAAATTCTTCATGAAATAGAACCTAAAACTGGTTCCAGACCTGATCCAGCAGATGTAGAACCTCCTTTCAGTTGTGGTTCTCTGTAGGACTTCATCAGTATGTCTCCTGGTTGTGGACGGGTTCTGGCCCACTCCTCTGTCCATCGTTGTTTCAGTTCCTTGAGGTTTCTGCTCCTCTCTCTGAAGGTCCACCACAGTCTGCTGGAGTCCTGGAAATGATGCAGCCCTAAACCATCTTCAGTTTTTAAAGTAGCAATGTGTGGGGATTTTAAAATTTACAGGTTGTAATTGAATTCCATACATATCTTCCCATGGTTACCTGCAGGGCCTTCCTGAAGGCTCAGAGCCCTGCGTTTTGGCCCCGCCCACTCTCCGTCAGCATTCTTATTGGTTAAAGTTTCTGTCAGTTATCAAATCAACTTCTCCTGCAAAGCCTCCGATAAGCTCAGCCTTCTCTGCTGACACTGAAGTCCTGACCAATCAAAGCTTCTTCAGTTTCCGCTGGAGACACAAATTTAACACGATCTGATTGGATAATGGATTTTCAGACATTTAAAACATTTTCAGCTGCAAATAGTTTACAGAAATAAGAGAGATGAACAAAAAGTAAGACGAGCTACACAGAGAATACATATTTTGTATAAAAAATGATCAGCCTTTCAGCGTACGATTTCATGTGATGTTTGGCCTTCTCTGAAGGCGTTGAATGCCCAAGAGTTCCCCCGATGGACACACAGCAGCAAACGGACCCAGTTTTGGTTCCGTTCTGAAGTTCTGCTGCAGATTTCTGTGATTTGGACGGTTTTATTTTTGTGTGTTTTTCAGCTCTGGATTCACGACTGAGCAGAACCTCGGTGTCTGGTGAGTTCTGAATTCATCTACCCCAAATAAAGTCGTCAGAACTGAAAGCTGCACCTTAAGTGGACCAGACTGTGACCTGCATCAGAACCCCGAGTGGTGCCAGTCCACTGAACAGAACCTTCTACTTGGGGCGGCTGTGGCTGAGTGGTTAGAGCAGTCGTCCTCCAATGCAAGAGTTGGGGGTTCGAATCCACTAGCAGTCGAATTGTCCCTGGGCAAGACACTGAACCCCTCGTTGCCTCCGATATGTGTCCCATCAGTGTATGAATGTGATCTAGAGCTCTGATTAGTCTCTTTAGAATGATTTGTTCAATTAGCTTTGTAGAGATCTAGTATAGAGCTGTATGAATGGGAAAATGAGGCATAGATTGTTGTAAAGCGCTTTGAGTGTCTTGATAAGATAGAAAGGTGCTATATAAGTACAGTCCATTTACCATTTACTTGCAGAGAAGGAGCCCATCAACGTCCACGTCCGGGAGCAGGGACAGATCAGTTCTCCGGGGTTTCCTCATACTTCATATCCTCCAAACTTCTACCAGAAGTGGAGGCTTCGGGCCGACCCGGGACACCGGGTCCGGCTCGACTTCCACACTTTGATCCTGGAGGAGGACTGTCAGCGAGATTTCATCAAGATCTACGACTCCCTGGTTCCGATCGAGCCTCGAGCTCTGACAGAGTGAGACTCAACTTCCTGTTTGGTTTCTGTCACTGTGGACCAGACCGAGACTTCAGAACCATGATGGGGTCTGAAGGACGAACTGGTCCTTCGATCCGGGCTCAGGTTGGTTACTGTGTGGATGGTGTGAGGACCTCACCTGGACAGGTGGAGCTGATGACATCACTGATGGGTGCGGTCAGACAGGTTGGGTCAGTTCAACAAGAAGCAGCTGCAGATGGGAAAAGCTGCGACCGAGATGAGAAGACAGAACAGTTTTAGTGTCCTCCTCATGGGACAGACATGGACCTGAAGGGACACTGCTGGAGATCAGACAGACGCCTGACGGCTTTTAAAAAAGATAAATTATTTAATTTCACAACAAAACGAAAAGATCAGAGCCAAACTACAAGTCCTTATCCGTCCCTGCATGTCCTTATCTGTCCCTGCATGTTCTTATCTGTCCCTGCATGTCCTTATCTGTCCCTGAATGTCCTTATCCGTCCCTGCATGTCCTTTTCCATCCCTGCATGTCCTTATCCGTCCTTGCAAGTCCTTATTTGTCCCTGCATGTCCTTGTCTGTCCCTGCATGTCCTTATCTGTCC